GGGAAGGAGAAGGAGGAGGAGGGGTGGAGAAGAAGTAAAAAGAAGAGAGGGGAAGAAGGAGGAGGAGGAAGAGAAGTAGAAGGAGGAAGAGAAGACGGAGAAGGAAACAGCTCACTCGGGCCACTAGATATACAGAAACTCTACGGTAAACACCACCCACGTTTCACTTACTATGGCCAGGACTGAGGTACTGTTTTGAACGTCTTTATTTATCTCTATGTTGTATAAGTGTGTGTGAGACAGATATCTTCCATATATTTTCTGTCATATCAATAAACCTGCCTTATTCTGTGTGTGGTATTTACGTTAGTAGGTTGTGATGACGTATCTGTAGCGTTCAGGAAAGGTATAATAATAGTAATAATAATAATAATAATAATAATAATAATAATAATAATAATAATAATAATAATAATAATACAGTAATAACTTGTATAATTTAATCAACATTTTTTTTCCTCTCACCAAAAGTTCTTGAGAAAAATACTTACACCAAAAGTAGAAGAAAAAAATATGCAAACTTTTAATACGGTACCAATTTCTGGCCAAGAACATCAATATGCATGAAATTCAATATCCGTGAAAACAAGATATTTTTTTTTTACTTCTTCATTCATTCATTCATTCAAGTCTTATTACAAATTCAACTTCAGAATGATGAGGCAAAAGTTAAACTCTGATCTAATTTCACGAACCTCAAATTAATATTTTCTCACATGATCCGACATGTCTGCTAATGATACCCAAAGACTTTTATGTTATGAGGCTCGCGTTGGTATAGTATAAGACTCTAAAAGCACGACGAGTCTTATTCTGTTCGATGTTTATATGTGTCGCGTTGCTTCAGAGGTTCATTCGTGTCGGGATACTGTGTCGGAACCTGGTTAGTGTACAGGGGAAGGTGTGTGTTTGTGTGTGAGTGTGTGTGTGTGTGTATGTGTGTGTATGTGTGTGTGTGTGTGCAGGAGGTTCTTTGTGTGTGTGTAGGTGCGTACAGGACACTACTAATGCTCTAATCTACACACAAACACACTATCAACCTAACCTATCCTAACCTAACCCATTATAAAGCGAATCAAATCCTGTACATGATATACGCGTTTGTAATTACCTTCAGTTTATTATATAACGTGTACTGTACTGCCTCTGCAACCGGGTAATGGTGTAATGATCATTTGTTATTTCAAACGGAACTCTCTCTTTCTCAGTAATTAAGAGGAATTTTACTGTCGAGTTTTTGTGATGTTGGAGTTTATTGTGAAGTTTGTAATTAACCTGCGTTTTACATGGCCGAAAAGGACGCATATACACACACACACACATACGCACGGACACACACACACACACACACACACACACACACACACAGGTAATTCTTTCGGGTCTCTACAGGTCCTTTGATACTTTATTTATAAATTCACTTGTACTCAGGTTATACATCTGTATTTTAAGAAAGACTAAATGAAAATATATCTAATTAAACCAGCCACAAAATAAACCAGGTATCCATTATTCACCATCTAACTAAACCTCTTTTCGTGTCTCATGGAATCTCAGTAAACTTTTCGGGTCAGTGTTTCAAAAGAAGGGTCATAATTTGTTACATCTATTAAAATGATTGATAAAAATGATTCAGAGGAACGTTTCAAAACAATATTTCAAGTAAATGTTAGCAATTTGTTACTCCTATAGCGGTAATTCATGAAATTCTTCCGAAGGACTGTTATGAAATGAAGTTTTATTTTAGATTATTGCTCCCATAGTAATTCAGAAAGTGATTTGAAGCGTCATCTCGAAACATATTCAATAATGTTCAATGTGTAGTATTCTTATGGTAAAATCTCATTATGATTCTCAAAAGTAACGTTGATTAAACATTTTTATCGGCAATGTCTGTAAATTGATGGTCTCATAAAGTGTGCAGAAGTAACTTATGAAACGGAGCTTACAGTTCGTTTGTAAGTCAACGCCTAGAAGCAGCGTTACCAGCTCGTTGTTGTGTGAAAAATGTCTCATAGCAACACTTTGAAGCAGGATTCTCTGTTCGTTGCTCTAGTAATGTGTCCAACATCATCGTAGGTTTAGAAATAGTACTTGCAATGGTTTCTTCTCGTCAATTATCTCCACAGGAACATTTTCAAAGTGTTCGAATTCTTTGTCTCGTTAATATCTCCTCAGAAACGTTTGAAAACAGTGTTCGCTGTGGTTTCTTGTCGTAAATATCTCCAATGAAACGGTTTAAAGTATTGTCTAGTGAGTTATCACCTCGTAAATATCTCCTAGCCAACGTTTAGAAAAGGATACGCAGTTTATTGCTCCCTTGGGAAGAGTTTGTATACACTAACTTTCAACAACCATGAACTAAAGCGCTTCCATCCGCAGAAAATGGTAGATGGTGGATTAAATGCGGACTCATGAATATTTTAAAGGCTATATGTGTGTTTTTGTCTTCACCATTGAATTCCTTTGTGCCTACACGATATTTCTCAATGTTATTAACTGTTGACCTTATACCTGTGGACTCCATGAGATAATTGTTTGTTTTCATCGTTTAAATAGTGTGTAGATACCTTTGTGCATGTGTGTGTGTGTGTGTGTGTGTGTACTAAGCTTAATCTGTAGTCATGCAATATATATGACCCTACGCCTGTATCTTTTAACATATTCATAATAAAATATCTTGCTGTTTCCATTTTCTCTGTTATGACTTATTCGCCAACCGAGAGAGAGAGAGAGAGAGAGAGAGAGAGAGAGAGAGAGAGAGAGAGAGGAAAAATGAAACAGTAGGATATTCAAAAGGCAGAGAAAAGGAAACTGAAAGAAGAATATAGAGAGAAAGAGAATAAGAGAAAAATAAAAGAAATGAGAGTGAAGGAGAAAAGGAACTTGAAGATATAATGACAATAAAAGAGTGAGAGAGAGATAAAGTAAAAAAAATTAAGTGAGAAGGGAAAAGAGGGTGAAAGAGAGAGAAAGGATGCGATAGGAAAAAAACGAGAGAGAGAGAGAGAGAGAGAGAGAGAGAGAGAGAGAGAGCATAATTTATCACACCTCGGGGACCATTATTTTTGTATACCCTTTTTAAATATCTGTCTGTCTGTCTGTCTGTGTTTCTTCAAGAGTGACTGTGTGTGTGTGGCAGAGAGAGATAGGGAGGCTGAGTGTGCCTATGTATGTTTACGACAAACATTACTCCCACACTGCTCCCTGGATGACATATTTTCCAGGTTAAAATGACATAGGTGAGTGAATATGTGTAAGGGGGCGAGAGGGGTAATTACAGTAATTATAGTGTGTGTGTGTGTGTGTGTGTGTGTGTGTGTGTGTGTGTGTGTGTG